CATTCCTTTGAGGTCTTTAGCACAACCTCTGATCCACATTCATCTCCCTTTCTCATTTCTGGGTCTTAAGACTTTGCTGGAATATCTAACTTTATTCATATTTTAATTTCAGAACTTCCTCACTTTGCAATTTAGTCCATGAAAATCTTATTATTTCTATTTCATTTTTCTGGGACTCCTGTTGTTATGGATACAGTAGCCTGTCCTTTTTAGACTAATTCCGGTACTTACTTCTAGGCCTAGAGTTTGAGATGTTACACTAACAATGTCTCATTATTAGGTTCATTGTAATTTTTATCTCATTTAATTTTTTTTATATATTTTAATAGTATTTAAATGTTTCAAAATAATACATTTTTCTTTTTAAAAAATTCAAATTATATATTCTAACAAAAATTAGTGTTTGGGAAGCTGTAAAAGTACTTCTCAAAAGCTTTTTTTCGCAAATCGAGACAAACTCCTTCATATATTTATTTCGTATAACGTAAAATCATTTTTAAAACTATGATTTTATTTCCATCCAAATACTCTTTTAAGGACAATTCACTTAACTTTATGCAAGCCCAACTCAAAAAAAAGAAAAACTTTATGCAAGCCATAAAAAAAAAAAGGGAAACAAAAGGATAAATATCCATTTAGTCCCACGTATTCCTATAAACATAGGCACATGAATCATCAAAGTATCAAGCAATCAAACAAACAAGCAAAAATATGTCCACTAATTCCGTCATCAATTATTCTATCTTTTTCCTTTCTTTCTTCTTCCTCATCTTGAACCTCTTTCTCAGAAAACGGAGATTAAGACATATCCCACCAGGCCCTCCTTCTATTCCCATACTCGAAAATCTCCACCAGCTCAAGAAACCACTCCACCATCACTTTCATCGTGTTTCCCAAAACTATGGTCAAATTTTTTGGCTCTGATTTAGCTCTCGTTTAGTCGTGGGCGTTTCGTCACCATCCCTAGTTCAAGAATGCTTCAGCAAAAACGACGTCGTTCTCACGAACCACCCACCGTTTCTCACCGGAAAACACGTCGACTACAACTATACCACCGTCGCCTTCGCCCCGTACGGCGACCACTGGCGCAACCTCCACCGCATCATGGTCCTCGATGTCCTCTCAACCCACTGTCTTAATTATTTCCTGGACATACGAAGAGATGAGATGAAACGGCTCGTTCAAAAATTAGCTTATGATTCTCGTAAGGGTTTTACGAAGGTATAACTAAGATCCAGATTTTCCGAGCTGACTTTTAACACAATGATGAGAATGATTCGTGGGAAGAGGTATTGGGGAGAAGATGGCGAAGTTGGAGATGTGGAAGAAGCAAGGAAGTTCAGAGAGATGATGTGACTTGTAAATAGTACTACATCTAATATTTAATATAAAAATTAGTTAACTAATTTAAGTAGATTAATAAGTTTGTTAAGTTAGTTATTTATAATAAATAAATATTATTTTTCATGTTAATTATTTGTATTAACTAAAACTACTACTCAATAGAATATTTAAGATATGCAAAAGGTTATTTTGGAGAAAAAAAGATGAATATAAGAGACAAAATGAATTGAGATATGATATTTAGTATCAAATTGAATGTCAAACTAACTTTTATATGAAGTATGTAATATAAAAAACAGAATTCCCCATAGCTTTATAGGTGATTCTAGCTCATTATAGAAGATATGGTACGTAGTTGGGACATTTGCAAATTGATGTTGACACCGACGTAAGCCATATCAGATATCACGGGTCCATACTCGAGTACAAGTCAACCAGTTCAAAATCACACAAGATATTCATATCCAAGAGTTCAAAATCATAGCTATACCATTCCAACTCTTTCAAAACAGTTATCCGCAAGTTGGCTTTCATAAAACAAAGGGAAAATTTTAGTTAAGGACTGCTATAGCCAGTTTATTTCAAACAACTTTTTTATAATTCTGAAATATCATTGCAGCAAAAAAAAGGCCAAATGAAATAAATTCAAGAAACAAAAGACACTATTGCCCCTCATAATACTTTTTCCTAAATTTTGAAAATAAGGGTCAAAATTCATTGATTAGAAAGTCTTCCCTCTCCCGCTTTGCGAACTGGCTCCCATTGTGTGAAAACTCTTCCCTCTCCCATTTTGCAAATGTGCTCCCACTGTGCGAAAACTCTTCCCTCTCCTAATCTGTAAAAACTGTTAGATGTGCCCACCAAAAAATCCATCGCCATCATTCTGCGGATGCTTGGTAGTTGCTATAACCAAAAGAAGAAGAAAACGAGGCCAATAGAGGAGGAAACTTACAAGGCGATCGACAAAGAAGGAAGAAGAAAGGGGAGAAGAAGATACTGAAACCCTTTGGTAAGCCTCCTAGTCTACATTAAATGTTCTATATTTCTTCAATTGGGTTTATTTGGTAGTGAGATAGGCAAGTGGAAGCTTGTATATTGAGGAAGAAGGATAGATTGAAATGTCAGAGTGTTTGGTAATCACATTTGGGTTTTAATCGAAAAATGGTTACCAATGTCTCACATAGTGTTCATCCATCACCCTTTTAGCAAATCCTCCTGATTTTGTGAGCGCCAGTGCAGCTTTTAGACCACAGAGAGGAATATATTTGAGAGCAAGGTTGCAAACAAAGGTTCAAGAGTTTGTGTGTGGGCTAAGTATGAATTTATTATTAACGGGGTTATTAGTTTTGGTAGTTAACAGTATTGTTATACTATTTGTAGGCATTTTGCAAGAATTAAAAAAAAGAATTAGGAGGAGGAAATGTTGTCGTATAGACTAGAAAAATAGGTGGGTTTTCATGTAACACGTTGATTGTTGGAATTTGATATTTAGTAGGCTAAGAATGAAAGTTAGGCAATTTACATAAAGAATTAGTTAATTAATCATTTGTATATAACAATTTTATGTTTGTTGGAATCTGATACTTAGTGGCCTCATAAAGAAAGTTAGGTAATTTACATGAAGAATTAGTTAATTAACCACTTGTATATAACAATTTCATGTTTGTTGGAATATGATATTTAGTGACTAACAAAGAAAGTTAGACAATTTACATAAAAAATTAGTTAATTAACCACTTATATATAACAATATTATGTCTTGTCCTATAACAAGTAAAGTTGAGAAATTAACAATAGCAATTAATGTATTTACAAGTTTGAGGTTTATGTTAAAAAAAAAAATGTTGGATGGTGTGAATTTTCAAGTGTTGTTTAGTCTAGTAATTAATGACTTTGTAATTATTGTGCAAAAGCTTAAGAAGATGGCAAAAAAGGAAACAAAAGTTAGCGCATGGAAAGTATTCACTGGTGAATTTGGGGAACAAAAGAAAGAGGAGATGCATGGAATGGGAACAATCACAAATGCGGCTTCAAAAAAATGGAATAAAATGAGTGATGCTGATAGGGATCCATACAAGAAAAAAGAGCAACAGCTTATAAAAGAGAAGAAGAAGAAGAAATATGTCTTCCTATCTTCTACTCAATGCTCCCCCACTAAATTCAACTAAGTGGCTAAGTTTATAAATGGGAAAGAAAATTTGAAATGCAAAATAGAAGAAATGAGGTTTGGGCATCTTCTTAGTATTACTTTGAATAAGATCCCTAAAGATTTATGTTTGGAGTTGATTCATGCATATGATCCCCCACGTAAACAAATGATCATAAGGGGGAAGACATTGAAGGTAACAGCTAAAGATGTGAGGATGGTACTTGGTTTATGAAGGGCTCCAAAGTCAAGTTGGATGGCTTCAAGGATCAAGTAAATAAGCTGAAGAAGGACTAAACTCTACTAACATATTCTCACGTTGGGGAGAAGATAATGAGCGAGGAAGAAGAGGAAATGTTTGAATTCTATTTTGTTCTTTTCACACTAGAAACTCTTCTTAGTCCCACCGGAAGCGTAGGTGTGAGTGAGAATGTGCTAAAGGTAATGGGTTGTATAGGGGGAAAAAAGGATAAATTTGATTGGGTTTTGCCTGTGCTTGACGAGTCAATAAAGAAATACAACAATACAATAAGAGTAGTAAAGAAGGACAAACCGAAGGCTCCAAAGCTATTGGAAGGTGCATCTACTTTTTATTTGTACTTATGCATTTGTTTACATAATAAATAATATTGGATTTTCTTTCACTATTAAATTGTTGATGTATTGTCTAATTTGATTTATGAGTTATTATATTTTTTCCCTTCAGCTTTACTTCCTGCATAGGTTCCCTTTGGATGGAGTTATACCAAAAGACAAGGAAGTCATTAAACATTGGAATGATAAGGCAGTTAAAGAAAGAATTAAGGTGGAAAATGAGAGTCATCATGGCATTTTGTACAGTCCAATCTTTGCTGAAGTTAAGACGTCAACACAGCCAAGCACCACTACAAGTTTCCATCACCCAATGAGTAATAACAATGTAGTATTGTCTTTTGGCTATAGTTAATATATGTTTTCTTATATACATTTTTAATATGCAAGACCTTACGGAGTTTTGGGTAAATTCTTATATTCCTCCACATGTAATTTGTTAGACTGACTCAAAAGTTGTGTATAGAAAATCTGCACAAATTTTTTTTTCAGGGAATTTATATTATGAGTTTGTTGCATGTCAATTAATTATAATCCTTAGTTTTTTCCCACCTTTTTACAGCTATGAGATATACTATTGACAACTGAAATTAGGAAATCTGCATCAAGGATAAGTTGTTTCACTAGAGAAACTCATTATGTTTGCAAATGGGCTAATATAACTGAAGTTGAACATCATCATGTTACAAGACTGGACCGGCTATGCACAAGTGAAATTAAGCAATTTGCAACATGGATGCATTAATTAACAACTTATATTCGTCCATTTGCAAGTAAACTAATATGATGTCAATAAGTGTGGGTGGATTATTTACAAGTGGAATTAGACAATTTGCAAGAGAGATATGTATATCAACAACAAGAAATAGTCCCTTTGCACGTGAGCTACTTAACATGAATAACTTTGTGATTCACAAATATGGGAGAACTATTTGCAAGTGGAATTAAACAATTTGCAAGAGCGATATGTATATCAACAACAAGAAATAGTCCATTTGCACGTGAGCTACTTAACTTGGAGAAGTTGAATGTGATTCACAAATATGGGAGGCACTATTTGCAAGTGGAATTAGACTATTTGCAAGTGAGATTTATATATTAACAACACTAAATAGTCCATTCACAAGTGGACAAATTTCTCGTATATTAACATTGTTGCCAGCTAATTTCACCGCAGTACTTGGGACAACTTATCGTCAAGTATTGTCATAAAATTTTTTTAACTATTGATAGCACTATACAAAATTTATTTCAACCCACCACCAAAATATCTAAATGGGTTGTCATAGCTACTTTTCCAACTAATCCAAAAATACATATTGGGATTCATTTATGTACAAAAGTAGCTATGTATTCAACTAAATCACACAGGGTTCGGGTTACTGCAATTCTTTCTGGTGTCAACAACTTCACCACATCTTTAGCAATGACACACTTTCTTCTGCTAGAATTGCAATTTAATCCTCCTAACTATGGACCCTCTAGGATGGGGAGTAGTCAATGGTGGTTGTAGGAAGATAGTGGACGAGTAATTTTCATATCAAAGGGAATCTGGCCTATAAATATTATGGGTCTCAATTGGGATCATGAGTCTATCATAAATTTTTTCTTGAGCTGAGAGTAAAAAGCATTCCTCCACATATGCATATATACACATATATATATATTACCATATATCTTCTGGATTGCAGCATACACATGTAGGCACGGTAGGCCTGACATCTGCCAACCTTTGCAAGTGCATTCACTTAATATGATATTTACCCGCACATCTGACTCTAAAATTGTTCATTCCATAATCTTATACATTCATTCTTTCTTATCTAGCCACATGATCTATCAAATTTTCCTCTATATTTGGTCCCACACCATTCGTCTAATTCCTTACAGCCAAGTTGCTATTATACATCTGTTTTGCTCTTTTTTTTCCCCATGATCATGTATCAAGACAGCAATATTGTGCATCCTCTCATGAACCAGCCAAACATTAAATGATTCAACTAGATTTGTAGTGATACTGTCCTACCTCTTGTAAGAAAATTTGCTTTGTACCTAATGTTCAATGTTTCCATTCCTTTGAAGCTATTGTCCCAATTCTAGACAAAATCTGTCACATTCAAGAATTTGATAAATAAAAGTAAGGATATTTCTAGATAGTAAGAATCATAATAATAAGAAGAAATGAAATGACACAACTCTTAAGGTTAAGTTAATGTCAGAGCAAAAGTATAATTTCTAAAAGTTATGGGCAAACTTACATAATTTTGGAAAAATATATTGAAAATTCCCAAATAGTATTAGATAATTATGTAAACTAGGAAAAAGCCCCCGAACAGTATATTAGTCTCAAAGAGTTAGAATTTTGATGGGAAATATTAAATTTTTAGTAATTATAGAAGTTTGACTAATTAAGGAAAATTGGTTAAAAATTAATTATTGAAAATATTTTTGAGTCTTAGAAAATTGAGAAAAAATAGGGAAATTGGAATTTTTATTTGAAAAATTCTAAATAAATACTTTTAAGAATAATTAAATTCTGAGAAAATTCACAAGGTATCTTTAGGAATTATAAGGGATTATGAAGCAGAAAGAAGCCCCTTAAATGTTTAGAAATTCTAGAAATGTCTTCCCGAGTAAAGAAATTATTATGGTAATTTAATTTGTTTTCTTCTTTACTATTGATAGAAAATTGTAATGCTAACAAAGAAGAGTATTGTGGGAAGAGAAAAATGATAAGAATGTATTATGAATGTGACAAAAAATAATTACAATGGCCAAGATACTGTAATTATGAAATAGAATTTATTTCCAGTACAAAGTACACTAATAAAGTAAAAAATATACTCTTGACTTTTACTTGGCCTACAATTTGCCACTTATCAAGCTATGAATAGAGAGGATTAAGATACTACTTGTCAAGTATAGAGAGGATTTTGACTTTGAAAAAATCAATTCATTTGGATTTAAGTTAAGGATGGAAATTAAGCAAAAAGGCATAGGGAATTGAGACATAAGCTTGGTAATTAGTGTGATCTTGGATGGTAAATAATTAAGGTTTGTCTTATAAATAGCCATCTCCCCCTCTCACAAGCTCACATTTTCAGCCAGCCTAGGGGAAGCTCTTGCAAATTATTTTCTTGAAGTGCAATTGTAACGACGAATCTACTACACTTTTAAATTAATCAATATTGAAAAGTTAACCATGATAGAAAAGAAACTTTGTAAAAATATTTAGAAATACTATCATGGTTATATAAACATCCTAAATCATATGAGATTAACCATGATAGAAAAAGAGTTAAACTAATCCATAAATATATCTATCATGGTTAAAAGAATCCTTCTAAATCAATTTCGTGTAAATCAAGATTTACAATGAATAACGCTTTGGGTATTATAAACCCAGAGTGTCATTTTCAACTATAAACCCATAACATGATTTTACTGAATAATACCTTTCATAACTTTCTAAAATCAAAAGTTATCTGATGTTCAAGATTGTTGTGGATCCACAACTTATATCAAAAACAAATCACATGCAAGTACCTTGAGGCCTCCGGCCTTCTACCAGCATGTAGTCCAGCAACAATTATCAAAAATACACTGTCAAAATAATCCATCTCAAACATATCAGAGTATGTGGAATGGGCCCTATCATGGCAATATACATCTATCCAACACAATAAAAAAAAAGTGGAAGCGCTACAATTTTGCAATAGCAGCTCAAGCTTTCGGAGTCTTCCTTGACTGACCCGAACGGGAACTATTACCTGAAAAAGTGTTAAATCAACAGGGTGAGACAAAAGTCTCAGTAACCAACAATCCTACTTGTCAAGCATACAAGTAAGTGCTCGTGACGTGTCAAGAGAGACCATTGCAAAATCATAATATTCCAACAAATTTCATATTGTCAAAGCATATATATAGTACAATCAATAATCCTCTCACCTCCTTTATATCCACCCACCTTATATCCTCTAATTGAACCCATGGGCTAAAACCTCATCCATGTGACGGGTAATTAAACAAGCTATCCAATCAAGTGATATGGACTGGCCAAAATCCATATAGTACAAGACTGGACCATGGGTTCCCCCTCTAGTCTACTAGTGGGGTATCAATGCCCTATAAAGAATCATTGGGCCAAAGGACCAATCGGTGTACACTTGATGGCCCTACCACCTTATATCCTCAAATGTACATAATTCACCCCCTTGTATCCTCTTTGATATAGTTCCCATCATCAACATCCGCCACCCCTCACATATCAATACTCAAAAATATTATATTTAATAATAAATCATCAACATGTCAAAAATCAATTTGAAATTTTCAATTCAATTACATAACACATGATATCATCATAATCTTAAACACATATATATTTTGTAAAGAAAGTCTCCCAAGATAATTTCAATAACAACATAATTTTGTAGCTCATATCATAATTCAATAATATTTCATGAATCTCGTATAATTAAAAATTAATCACAAACAACCTACGAGCATGAATAATAAGTGGAAAGTGGTTACCTCTCGTTTAGGACAAGGATTACCACAAGGTTAATCCCCTGCTCAGACTAATAATCCAATAATTTAATCTACACAATCAATACATTTACATATCAATACACAAGCTATTTAATTAATTACTTAAGCTAATACATATATATAAATTAAAGTTTCTAATTCTATGCTAAACCCAAACCTCTCATAACCCATAATTAAGACTTTTAGCACAAAATTAATCTATTCCCACAATCCAGAATTTTTATTTAAACCTTTCAAAGTATTTACTTTAATACATATTTTTCTCAAATTTATAAATCTGCAATTATCATATTTAAAATTTAAAAATCCTATCTCAACTTTAAATCTCAAAAACCAACCATTAGAAATTCAATATACATCAAATATATCTAAGTAAATAATTTAGTCAACAGTTTCATAGTATAAATATCATATTTTTCATAAATAAATATCTGTTTAACACAAATAGTTCATTTAAAAATATTAGGTCAGTCAATAAATGAAACTAAACTGATAGAAATGATATACTAAAATATTGGCAAGTGAGAGTGGTTCACGTCCCACGTGAGTGCAATAAATGTGCTGATGCCTTGGCTAACTTGGGCATGTCTCTTGATGATGATATTCGGATATGGCCTCAAGTTCAAGAAAAGGTTCGCTGGTTGCATTTTGCGGATCGTACAGGAATGGTTTATGAGAGGGGTAGATAGTATTCTTTGTCTTTTACTGTAATTTTTGTTTGTTTTGGGCTTTAAGCCCCTTTCCTTACCAAAAAAAAAAAAATAGCTCTACAATACTATACTCATCTATCATCAAAACTCAACACTTGCTTCAAATCCTAAATCCAAAAATTATCTTTAAACAATATAAAACTACTATCATTAGATAGATTTAGATGAGTGAAAAAACTTTTATGAAGAGAATTTAATCAAAAGAAGTCATTTGGCTTACCAAAATGATCTGCAAAGTTGAAAACCCTACTAGAAAATGAGAGTGCGGCGCTGGAGAACGAGGAAAAAGAAAGACGACGCTCTCTACCCCGCGAGCAGCTTCTCTCCGCTGCTATTTTCATTCGCTGCCCTCCTTTTCTTCCAACGACACCATTTAATGAAGGAAACGATATCTAGGCCGTTTATTTCTAAGATTTGTATGGACGGTGATGAGAGGGTGACGAGAGGCAATTAACTTAAACGACGTCGTTTTAATATGTCATCTTATCCGTCGATTTTCTCATTCAATATCAGCTGTCCATATAATTTTATATATTATTTTATCATTTCCCTCCTGCAATTTAGTTGTTCATCTTCTTTCGCGCGCTGGTCCATTCTTTCTTCTTCATACAGTAGCGCGGGAAAATTAGTGGAACTGGTGGGGAAAAGTTTCAGAGAAGAGAAACAGCAAGGAAGGGTCTGTGGGCACTGGATATCAAGGATTAGTGAGTAAATTAACAATCTTTTATCAAATACTCACAATTTTTTATATGTCATATTTAGTTTATATTTATGCTTTTTCATAATCTAACTTGATAATCTTTAAAGTTGGTGAAAGAAGATATTTTTTCTGCTGTATTTATATTCCTATTGTAGATGTAATGTGCTTCTCTATGAGTTTGGTTAATTAATCTGAACTTCCGTTATACGTGTGTGCATGCTCCGTTTGTACCGAAAATTGTTTTGGCTTTATATAACTTTTGTTTTATATATAATATATTCTATACATATGTTGGTTAATAAATTTCTATTTTTGTGTATATATCTATTTCTATTTGTATATATACGTGTTTTAGTTTTGAGATCACAATTTCTCTACTTTCATTATATTGTATATATGAGTTTGTATTTATTTTATTTACTTATAAAAAATTTATATTATGGGTATATACCTTTCAATTTTGCAGGAGGTTTATAGCATGGATATAAATCTGATTCCTAGACTTGATCGTGAATTTGACAATATAGAAGAATCATGGGAATTTTGGAAAGCATATGGTAGGAGGACTGGTTTCAGTGTTTGAAAACAAAGTTTTAACAAGTGTAAAAAAGACAAGTCATCATATTCTTCTTATCTATATGTTCGTCGCAAAGAAGGGGTAAAAAAGCCAGACAAACGAGATGCTCAAACAAGGAAGCCTAGAGATGAGATAAGAACAGGTTGCAAAGGAAGAATGAAAGTGAAAAATGTAAATGGAAAATTCAAAATAAATGAAGTTTTCCTAGACCATAATCATCCTCTTCAGCCTCCTGAAGCTGTTCACTTGTTTGCATCTTATCAAGGATTAACACCAGCTCAACGTTATGAATTAGAAAATGCTGAAAAAGTTGGGATTAGTCAAAAATCAGCATTCAATTTGCAAAGTCAATATGCAGGGGGTCGAAATAATTTGGGATTTACAAGAGTTGATGTAAAGAATTATCTTAATTCAAAACGGCAACGAGCTATGGGATACGATGAAGCTGGATGTATATTTCGGTATTTTGAGCAACTATTAGCAGAAAATCCGTCTTTTTTTCATGCTCACCAAATGGACTCAAATGAGCAAGTGACAAATGTATTTTGGGCTGATGCACGCATGTTGGTCGATTATGCTTGCTTTGGAGAAGTCATTTCACTTGATACAACTTACTGCACAAACCGTGAATATAGACCTCTTGCAATTTTCTCTGGCTTCAACCATTACAGAAAAGGGATAATATTTGGAGTGGCATTATTATATGATGAGACAGTTGAAAGTTTTAAATGGCTCTTTGACACTTTTCTCTGTGCACACAAAAATGCAAGGCCATTAACTGTTTTCACTGACCAAGATGCTGCTATGTCACGAGCATTACAAGAAGTGATGCTAGATGTAAAGCATGCCTTGTGCACATGGCATATTTCAAATAATGCAATGAAGCACCTTCCAAATTCAATGGTGAGTGATTTTAACCGTTGCATGTATCATTGTTGGGATGAAACTGAGTTTGAAGAAGCTTGGCAAGCATTGTTGTCCAAACAAGATATGGTAGAAAACTTATGGTTGATGTCCATGTATCAGATAAAAGAGAAATGGGCAGCATGCTATATGAAGAATTCAAGGACACTTGGCATGAGAAGCACACAAATTAGCAAAAGTGTCAATGCATCTGTCAAAAGCTGCACCCATGTAAAATTGGATATCAATGGATTCTTTGAAAAATTTGAACAAGTTTTGGAGGAAAAACGTTATAATGAATTGTAGGCAGATTTTGAGACACTTGACAGGTTGCCAAGGTTGATATTACAAAGTTCAAGTATGCTTCATCAACTTGCTGAGGACTATACTCGACCTATTTTTGACTTGTTCCAATACCAATGTGATCTACGTGATGCTACACGTATAAAAGAGAGAAAAGAAAGAAAGATCACCATGAACAATGATAGTGCCACCGTGTTTGATTATGTGATCACCATGGATAATAGTAAATGGGAGCATAGTTTGACATTTGAACCTTCCACAGAGACAATCACCTGCAGTTGCAAAAAGTTTGAATGAGTAGGCATATTATGTTGTCATGCATTAAGAGTATTGAATGAATGTGATGTCAAATTACTTCCTTAGAAATATATAGTAAAGAGGTGGACAAGAGAAGCACGATGTGGTGTCATGTATGATATTAAAGGGAAAGAGATTGAATTTGATCCTAAACTACAAAGATCAACTCGATACAGACAATTATGCCCCTTACTTGTTAAATTAGCTAATGATGCATCAGAAAGTCCAGAGGCATTTGTTCTTGTTCATGAAGTTGTGTTGGAACTAAGTAAGCAAGTGACTAAACTTCATATCAAATACTTATCAAATGATAGTAATGGTGATAAGGATGGTGTGGAGAATCATGCCAGCGGTAATGGTGGCGAAGTTATTGGGTTTAAAAAGAGATATGGTAGAAAGATAAGTAAATGGATAAAGAGTGGACTTGAAACCTCCCAAAGAAGGAGGATAACAAAAACCTCTAAAAGGTCTCCTCAAGCTTCACAGGTATCCTTTTAACAAGTTTAATTTTTTTTACAAATGCTTATTAGATATTCATTATTTCTTTTCAAAGCTGTTCCAGGGACAACATAGTCAACTTCAAAAATTTGAGACAGCAAATCAAGTGCATCATGATAATATAATGTTGGATAACTCTCAACCAAGTGAAATGACCTTTACAAATTTGTTGCTGGTATGTTAAATGTTGGACAGCATAATGAACTAATTTGTTTATCTCAGACATGTGTATATTGAGATGATGTTTCTATTTCTCTATTGCAGGCACCACTTGATTGCGACGTCATATCACTTGAAGCACTGGATTTTAGCCAAACACATAATACTGGTAACCATAAAGAATAATAATAATAATGGAAGAAAATAATTTAGTCATTTTATTGAATTTTAAATTTTTTTACATAAATTTGTCTCATCTCAAGACAGTTGACAATTACAATACTCTCTCTCATTAACACTACAAAGTTATATTGTGTTTCAAATGTAGGTCCAAGGGTTGACGTAGATCCTCGCATATGAAATCTCCATGTCAATTTATTTTACCCAGCCCTTTTGTATAGCACATGACTTCTTATGGACTGCTCTATGTTTTGGTCAGCAAGCTCATCATTTTGTTCTTTTGTGTTGCTCTCTATTTTTTAGCCAACCATCATGTCCTTTAAAATGATGTAATCTGAGTTGGCTTTATTTTTTTGGTTAACCTCGCTCATTGTTTATGTAACTTGCTGTCAAACAAAGTCAACAAACAATCACTTGTTTGTACAAGGATAGAAACAGATGCTAATCAAATAGCTATCAATTATGCTATTTATCAATGTAAACAGATGGATCAAAATATTGTACATGGGTACAGTTGATGACAATCTATCGCTACTTACAACCCCAACAATATCACAGCATATAATCAATAACAGCCTCTATGAACAGCAATTAACATGTGTAATTTTTCAAGTTGTATGAGTTCTGAATCAACAGTATTATGAGCCTCTATGAACAGCAATTATAGATTTCAGCTTCCATCTCCCTCTTCCACTAACTATTGTTGATGCTATTGTCATTACAATCAACAATGCTATGAGTCTCTATCAATAAGGTAGTTACAATTGATGAAGGACAATTAAATGGAAAGTTTATGGTTACATATTTATTCAATTTTGTTGAAAAGGAATAACATTACAATCCATCAAACCATTCCAATCAAGGTTCTGAAAAGAAGTTTGCTATGAACATCAATTCCTGTACATAAATGAGAATCAGCTCTAAGTACATGCGACACTTGTTGAAATAGTTAAAACAGCTGAACTTTTGGTCATTTTTTGCTAAAGAAAAAAGGCTTTGAAATTTGCTGAACTAGGATCTCTTATAGTTAGCATTTATCAAAGAGCCAAAGCTACTTATGAATGAATAAATAAGCATTTGTTGGATGTTAAATATTTTAATCGGACAAGTATATAATAATTAAAGTTCATCACTTGCTTGAGCACATGTAATGTGTTATGTATCAAATATTTCTGTAGATACATCATTATGTATGACCATGAAATGAACATCTCCATAACAATGAACATATTTTTAGCATTCCCACCAAAATGGTGAAGAAAAAACTACACAAATTTTAAAATGAGAAGCCACATAATTCTTCTTGTAAGAAAAAATCTAAAATGTTAGCTGACCCACTCAATGATTTCTGGATCTCTATCAGCACCACTTTCTAGTAAAATCAAGATGCACGGTGATTAAAATCAACTTGAGAATATTAGCGAGTAGAGGAAATGTACAGGAAACAACACTAAAAATCATTCATAAAAAGTAGAAAAGGAGATTCATAACCAATATTATAGCCTATTATCAATAAAAGAACAAGAACTTGACAGTTAAAATAAACTGTAGAAAAGTATTATAGGCATCAGATCATGCATACATTGAATTAACTCTAGTCCAAAAGACAAGCAACTCACGGATCAAATTCCTCCAGGAGATCTCTAGATAAAGCTGCAATTAACCTGCATAAAAAAGACTTTAAAATGCCCACTTGATTAACTCGATAAATCCTTGGAATAGAGTAAGATAATTTAATTTGGGGTTCATGAGGCATGACCAAGCAATCTCCTTCAAGAAAGAGCCATAGAGAAGAAACTTGAGGAGATGGAATTCATATACCATATGGCTTGTCACATATACTGTCTCCTTCCTCTTGAATCGGTGAGAGAGGAAGCCACAAAGATCGAAGCCATTTTGATAGAGCCGCAAATTGGAGTTGGTCGCTGTTTTGATGCCGCCGTTCAATAGTCGATGGGTTGATGGGTCTGTGAAACACAACCTGCAGCAACTAATGGTTTGGATTAAAATTAATGGAGGGCTGAGATTCTGTTTTATAGGACAGAAATGGTGTCGTTGGAAGAAAAGGAGGGCAGTGAACGAAAACACAGTGGAGAGAACCTGCAGCAACTAAGGGTTTGGATTAAAATTAATAGAGGGCTGAGATTCTATTTAATAGAACAGAAACGGTGTCGTTGGAAGAAAAAGAGGGCAGCGAACGAAAATGGCAGTGGAGAGAAGCTGTTCGCCTCTACCCCGCTCCCAACTAAGGGTGGAAACAGGCCAGGCCTTGCTCTTAACAAGCCAGGCCTGTTTTGGAGCCTATTGGCCTGAGCCTGGCCTGTGGCCTGTTATAGGCTTATTTTTCAGCCTGAGCCTGGCCTGTGTAAAGGCCTGGCCTGGCCTGAAGCCTGTTAAAAGGCCTGTATTTTTAAAAAATTCAAATTATAATAATTATTTTTTTAAAAAAGCTAAGATTAAAAAAACGTACATAAAAATTAAATTTTTAGTCTTGTCTTTTATTTAAATTTTAGTATCATAACTACTATTTTAAATCTTAATTATAATTTATAAGAATGTTATTGAAAACTAATTGTAATTATATGTTAAAATTTGGAATAAGACTACGTTTAAGTACACACAAAAATTAAAATTAAGACAAATAAATAAAGAGGAAAAAAAATAATTTTATAATGAATAAAGAGGATATCATACTTAAATTAACATAATACGTAAGTTAGTTAATTTATCATTCTTGAAACAAAATTTTTCTTTCCTATTTTTTTTATATTTTTAAGATTTAAAAATCACATTATTTATTAATATTATTATTTTAAATTATATTTTTATCTTCACTTGTCATCTAAACTTCAAAATCTAAGAAAAGATTAAGCTATTAACTATATATTAAAATTAAAAAATAAATTAAAAAAACGCATTAACAATAATAGCATTAATTAATTTTTTATATATTATAATTATAAATTCTTAACAGGCCCAGTCCGACCTAACAGGCTTAACAGGCTTTTTAAAAAGCCTAATCCTGGCCTGTTTAACTAAACAGGCCTTCAAACAGGCCTGAGCCTGTCATTTTTGGAAAACAGGCCAGGCCAAATGCAGGCCAGGCCATAGGCCCCTGACAGGCTGCCTGGCTTGTTTCCACCCCTACTCCCAACGGTTAAAACAACATTTTGGGGTAAATTTCGGTTAGAGACCCCATGTTAAAATGGGACAAAATTACAGTTTGGTACCCCATTTTCCCATTTTCTATGCATTTTTTTATCCGTTTTATTATTATTATTATTATTTAGTAATTTTCTTATATGTGTATATATTTTATAAATCTTATTTTCAATAATTCTCTTTTCTTAAATGAATAGATAATAAAAGTTATTTATTAAGTATTAAACTCCTTCTAAACTTAATTAAACACTAGGAATAAAAACTGGGATGTTACAACAATCAAGAGGAAACCATCTACTTTGGTCACTTAAGCTTGGATATAAGGTTAGTTTGATGTTCTACCTTGTATATCGCTTTGTATTCTTGGATTTGATTGTTGAAAAATGTGGATTCCTCTAAGGGGAGGTGCTGGCCGAAATGTATTAAAATAGGGGAAGATGACTTTGATGTTAAACCTAGTTTAAAGACATTGGTTATAGTTTGTTTCAAGTGGTATTGTATTGAAATTTGAAAGATTGCATGATATGGTCATTATGGTGCTGTTTAGCCAACTTTGAATCTTTACCCTAAGATGTGTTTTTGTGAGTTTTGATGCTTCCATTGGATTTAAAATGAAAAATAGTGTGAGGTAAACCTAAAGAACAAGCTTCGAAAGTATTGAAATTAAAGTTGAAAATTTAGGATTTTTGTACCCTATTTGGCCAACACTATTTGGGAAGGAAGGAATTTTCTTTTCATGAATCCAAACTCATATTTGAGTTCTACATGAAAAATTATGTGGGATTGACCTAAGAGGATAATTTTTAGGTTAAAGGAAATAAAGCTCCAAAATTCAAAGAATTAAGGGTTAAGGGTTTACTTAAGAACTATCAACAAGTCTTGTGTAGTTTGTACTGTAATATGGTTGCCCTTTTTATAATGTAATGTTTAGGATTGGACATTTTTGCTGGAAAAGAGCAAGAACAAAGACTAAGAGAGTACTTGGATTAAGGTAGCAAGAT